TCAGGAAGGCCCAGTAGATGGCTCAACTCAATATTCCAGGGCCACTTACTTTCAAATCCAAAAAGAGTATATCGAACATGATCGAACTGCATGCAGAAACCTCGAACTATTCTTCAATCCCACCTGAAGGCCCCCAACGGGGCCCCGTTGGGCCCCCGAACGCCCGCAGGGCTGGAGCCGTCACCCGGCAAGCTGTCGACGCCCGCATGCTGGTGCTCACTGCTGGAGTCCCGGGAGAGGATTTTGAGTGGAAGCAAGAGCTCGCCCTGCAGGAGTTCGGCTCTGTTTCAGACTTGAGAGTCGCGACGATGTTGTGAATGTACAGTGCACTTTAAATGATCTGAACTTATATGATTTTATTTATAAAATGTACGATATATATATATATATTTATGTATATTATATATCACATTATAATCTATATATGTTGATATTTGTCGATTTAGATGGCTGAGCTCAAAGTGCTGTGCAGTCTCAAAACCAAAAGATTGCAGCATGCTGGATGAGCCGGCTCATCAGCTACGACTATGTGCATCTCGGTGCAACGGACATACCTGGAACAGAAAAAAGAAGCTGCCTGCGGAAGTTCTCTCCCCGACACTGCCGACGCCTCCTCTTTGTGGTGCACATTGTCGTAGATCTTGCTTTCAAGATCACCCACGGAATAGCGAGGGACTTGACCTGCCAATTTCATCTCACATGTCCTGCTGATTTCGTAGGGCGGGTTTCGAGACCTTCATCCTTCAACTACTGGGCCCTCAGGTCTTCTGATTCTTCCGATACTAGACGTGTAGACCCCTAAGACATGGGGTCTTGAACGGTTTCCTACTGCAAACATCAGGGACATGTGTGTGTGTGTGTGTGTGTGTTTTGTGAAGTGATGGCTGTGGGCAGCTTTGACGGTGTCGGATGTGAACCCTCCGAACAGCATTAGCACCTCGTGGGATCTCGATTGATTGTCTCCTCCTAGGATGGCTGCCAGGGTCGTTGGAATGACCAAAACGAAATGCCCCCCCAAAAAAACCATAGGCTGCCCGGCTCGATTGATCGATTTCAGAAGTGTTTGCCGCTTCCTAAAGCTGTTTGGTCCAGAAAATAGCACTCCGCAGCCCTGAAGACACCTGGATGCGGCCCTCTGAGATGGTGGACACGTGTCTTTCGGCGAAATCGCACGCCTTTGGTGGCTCTCCACTGCAAGAGGTGCTGGAAGTTGAAGAGTGACCTCATATTTATGAGCTGAAAGAAAGGGACCAAATCGATGCTTCTACGAAGCTTTTTTTTGTGGGATGGTCAGCACATGAGCACCCCTTCCTGTTTACCACAGAACCGGGGAAAGACCGGCTCACAACATAGATTGTGTCCAATCCTCTGATAATTGACATGTCATGTTTTCTGTCTCTCTCTCTCTCTCTCTTTCTCTCTCTCTCGCTCTTGCGCTCTCTCTCTCTCTCTCGACCCAACATACTCTACAAACCAGCGAAGATCCATGTGTCCAACAAACAAAACCCTACCCTACTTAGGCATCTCCATTGGACACCCATTGGATGGTCCTGGCACTTCATTTTAATGACAACCATTTCAACATCGCAATTCTCACATCCATGCCTTGTGCCAAGTCTATCTTAGCGCGTTTGTGCGGTGCATTTCCGCATGGCCGACCCCGCACTTCGCGCCTGGCCCGTCCCACTGAGGCCGCAACAAAACACTTTTTCCAGCCTCTCAAGCGTTTTGCGACAAGGAGGCATTAAGAAAACGACTACACAAAGTGTGACACATACACACACAAAGAAAACAAAGCAGCAAAGGTCCTTGACATACCAAGAGAGCCTCATTTCAATCACCAACTTGGGGTGCAGAACGGTCACTGCGTCAAAGCGTGCACCACCATCAGCAATTGGAGAACCCGTGTACTGCTGATCAGTTCATGGGGGTTTTACAATGACGCACATACAAAGTTTGCCCATGTGTTGCCAATAAAATTATGGCCAATCCCATGTGTTCAGGTGTTCAACACAATTATGTCCAAACCTAGTACAGCAATATGTTGATAAATAGATAGAAACAACATAGTAGTTTGATAAATAGATACTACTGTAAAAAGTATCAGTTCAACATGGTACAGAAAACATAGATACGTTGATCAATGAAGTTCTACTGTACGTACAGTATTAGTGGCTCCATGAGGCAATCAAATGATCCTTAGCTTTCTTCTTACAAGCTTCATCCAATGACGGTGCTCACTCATGTCCAATATGAGTTCAGTTCTCAATGAAAAAACTTCATACCTGCCACTGAGCTCGTGACTTCTTGGAACACTTTCCAGGATAAACGATCAGGAATCTGGAGGCTCTGACAGAATCAAACCTGATTTCAAGATTCGACAAAAACACATACAAAAAACAAAACAAAAACATTCAGGGACAAAGCACTGGACACATGCGTGCATGAACTTGAAGTATTATTAGCGGGGAAGATCTCTTCCGGCCCAGGTCTTTGTGCAACATGAAATAATATAAGAAACATGACATTCAAAAAAACAACGAAAAGTCGAAAACTCACGCTGATTAAATTGAATAGAATAGCAGGACATCCAAGGATCAAGGACAAAAGGGACGGCTGCTGCATCGTTTTCTTGGACTACCAAATATTGAACCATATTGACATACTCTCTCTCTCTCTCTCTCTTCAGGACAAGTCCAGCATTACGCGCAAATCAAATGAAACCTAATTGCAAACATGTTTATGCATGACTCCATGCAACTAAGCTGGACTAGAACACTGACGACGACAACGACGACGACGACAACCACCAGCACCATAATAGCAACACCAAGGCCACCAACAACTCCTACAATAGACTCAAACGTGAAACCACAAAGCCATTCACCATCATTCACCCCAAACTCCAAACTCAAACTCTCTGCCTGGCCGCGATCTTCAACCGCCTCTTCCACCCAGGTCCTCCACTCCCTCGTCCTCCGTCGCCCTCGGTTGCCTGGTTGTGCTGCGATTGGAAGAGGTGCCGCCGTTGCGCCAAGGACTTCCGCTCGGAGGGCGCATTGCGGGGCTTCGCCTCCGCCTGGCGCGCCGTGAGCCGTCCGAAGGGCCGACGCCCAGCTCGGTCAAGAGGAAGAGGAAGATGGTCGCGCGTCTTCGCTGGTCTGTTGTATTCTGGTGTTGTGGTTTGATGTATTCGGTGTAGATCAACATGAACTTGTTGCAGCAATCAATGGGTGTACTAGAGCACAGGTTGGTGGGTCCACCATTTTGTTTGCGTCACGGGACACAAATGGGCTGGAGATTGATGTTTCCTTGAACGTCGATATGGCGAGTCTGGATTTCTCAGCTCGATCCATGATGGCAAGAACATGGCATACACAGACTTGATCAGACTTGTCTACTAAGGGAAGCGCATCTGCATGGAAGTGGTTTGCATACTTTCAAGTTGTGTGTGTGTGTCCCCACACAGTAGGAGTCGATATTGCATCATGCTGCATGGAGGGTTGGATGATGAGATCCCAACTTTGGCTGGGCCTAATCAACCCCAAATCAGCCCAGCGTCTCAGGATCACCAAATGGTCAAAAATAAGTCAGGGTACAAAGGAGGTGGTGGTCGTAGTGATGATGATGACGCTGATGACGCTGTTGTTGTTGTTGTCGTCGTCGTCGTCGATGATGATGATGATGGTGATGATGATGATGACGATGAGGAGGATGATGATGATGATGATTGACGATTGTGATAATGGTGGGTAGCTAACCCAGAAGAAACCAAACACCACAAAATGATCCGCAGAAGAAAAATGCAATAATGTGAGTGTGTGTTGTTCAAGTCCAATCAACAAATTGGGGTTTTGGCACAACTTCCAAAATAATCCCTTCCACCCCTACATCCACCGAGGTTCAATCAATGTCAGAAGTGGTAAACTGTCTTGTGGGTCTGTTTCCGTTGAACCAAAAACATGTAGATCAATAGATCAATCAACATACAATATGTACTGTATAATTACAATATGAAGGTTTGCAACACTAAACAAGTCTGCCCGGCAGAGAGCCCTGTTCATGCCCCCCCCCCCCAAAAAAAAATATGCGTTTTCTTGAGGTAAGACATGGTAAGACAATAACAAACCGGAGGGTCGGACCGTGCTCCGTCTCCCCCCACCTGCAAGTCATTTCGGGTCTCTTCGGGAATAACGCCAGCATCATAGTCCTGCTGCTCCTCCCCTGCAAGAAAGTACATCAAGTTGCAGCGAAACACGCGAAATGTGCCAAACACATGCGTTCGGAACCGGTCGGGACCTTCTTCTCTGCCGCGCAAAGAAATTCGAGAATATTGTCCAACAAAGATCAATTAAAGTACAGTCAAGCTTGCCCATGTGATTTCCTCCGTTCTGTGGTCTGCGTGACCGCCCCAGAAAGCGGCCTAAGCTGTCCATCGCGGCAGCTGCTGTGAGTGCGCTGTCATCGGGCCGGGGCCATGATGTCGCTCAGTCTGTTACACAGCGTGGGACACCAAGGCATGACACCACCAATGCTGTGCGGTGTTGAGCTTGGTTTGAAAACTTCTCATGTCAGATTTGTCTTTTTCGCATTTCTTTTTGTTGGATGGCACCATGAGATGGGAGAATCAGACGGTACCAACAAGTGAACGCTTAAAGTACCCATTACTCAGTTCCCATGATGACCATTCGCACGGTTGTGTCCAGGTCCAGGCGGGTCTATTCATGTGCTTTTTTTCATCGCCCTACCTTGAGCCATTCTTAGCATTCTCAGTGCACTTCTGCTCCTCTACTGAAGGTTGCCCAACGGAGCGAAACGATGTGCATATGCCTAGGACTTCGAACAGCTTCAGTGCCATACAGGCCCTGCACGGCTTACGGGCAGACCCACAAACAAGTCGGGACTAACTAGTGTCAATCTTACTATACAGTGCCATATCTGTCGTGGTGGGCAGGTGTGCTCAACTGGCACTGCAAATGGCGGCTTCAAATCCCTCCTACCTCAGGCCGCTCTCTGGCAGAGGCCACTTCGGCGAGGACGCTCTCTAAAGCTGAGAAGTCCAGCACATCCTTCTTGCTGAACCTAGACACGGAGAGATTGGGAAGAGGAAAAAACCGAACACAATCTATGGAACTGGATGGCACGGCTGCCATAGGAAGAAAGAAGTCCACAAAAAGGCAGCTGGTCCACTTCCACGTGTCTCGTACGTTGGTGAGACCTGGGGAGGGTGCCTAGCTGTGCCTTGGTGCGAGGTCCGCTGAAAAGTGAATTGGTTGAGTGAGGATTTCCCCATCCCCAGAAGGATGGGGATCAGGTCATCCACTGATTGGGTTCTTGGAACACCCTGATTGGGTGTGGACTTTGGGCTGTATATATACTCCAGACTCCGAAGGCCGAGATACAGTAGGTTGGGGTGTAGGACGGAGGGGTCATTACAGGCGTTGTGACTGCGAAAAGAGAAACAGGTGCGCCGGGTCCGGGTCTGCGGCGTTCGGACATGGAGATTGAGTCTTCGACACCGTTCGCTGAGAGAGCCGAGAGTCTTCGAGTCTTCGACACCCGGCAGTCACCAAGTATGGGCGGCATGATTCCCTCACCAGCCGACCTATCTCCTACACCTATCATACACTTCTCATGGCAGTCCTTCCTACACCTACACTATCCTACACTCAGCAAAACATGTCATCAGCGCAAAACCATCGATCATCTATCCCTGACCGAAGCACAGCATCGCCATGTCTTGAAACACCAATGCCAGCAAGTCGAGTCTTGCCCTTTTGAATCACAAGAACGAGTGGGAAACCACAGGGCGGCATAACATGATAGTGGCTTATCCCAGGACCATCCTGTCTGGGTCACAGGACCATCCTGTCTTGGTCACCTCCCTGGACCATCCTCCAGCAGTTGGCTCCTGGATGGACACCCAAACAGGATGGTCCAGGTCATCTTCATCTGAGCTTTGCACGGTCCCGACACAGCCAGCGCGTGCAGAGAAGATCGCTCACCAAGTGGTTGTGCTTCCTGAGGTAAACCTGGCCAATGTCTGGCCAGTGGGGGAAGGGGGAAGGACGTGAAGTTCTTCAACACCGTTCTTTGGTGATGTCCTGGCTGGTGTTGTTGGGGCTATTCTTCTTGATGAGGGCCTTCAAACTGTGGACAGCTCCAAAAATGCCTCATTCCAAGGGTGACAGCCACACCAGGAGCAAGTACAAAAATAGTCCAGTGAGAACAGTCCAACCGACTTTATAGCCACCCATGACCCATGATGAGACCCTTCTGCCCACTCTTTGAGCCAGGCCAGGAAGGTCTCACCCGGCTGAGCTTTGTAGTTTCGAATCCAGCCTACTGAGCAAGTGACCACAACTAGCCGTCCACGGGCGCGCTACATTTCCCGTGCGACAAGATTGCGCAAACACTGGTACCTCTGAAACCCGCAAATCTATTCTCATGATGCATCAGAATCCAGTGCCAGTGATAACACTGTGGGGAATCTCCACATGAACCCCTTGAAACCGCCCTCCCAACGGCATGAACTCCTTCAACCGCGGTGCCTGGAAGGAACTCTTTGGCATGAAACGTGCTTCCTGCCATGCCACTCTGGCCGATCACGCCCACCTGCTTCGTGGACATGGTCACCAAATGGTCTGACCAATTGAAACCATTGAACCCCCCTGTTTCGAGAGAACCAAGCAAGTCAAAACGCATCAGAACCCCCTAGCTCCCTGGCATGACTACTAGTAGCAAGAAGCGACCGAACGTAACCAAGGGCATCGTTTTCGAACGGTAGCCTCTTGCTATGTCTTGGATCCGTATGGCTCCGTACACTCAGGTTCGGGAAGCGGGAAGCGGACCGCGAAGCGCCGCGTAGCGGACCGCTGAGCGGCCATGTGTGAAAACAAACACCAGTGAAAACCGCTATGAAGAGGTGTGCTATATCTATCTTTATGCTATTCTTTGCTATGAAGTTTGCCGTGCTTTTTGTGTTTCATCCACTTTGGCGATCTGCACAGGATACGTCTGACCCCGCAATCGATGGACCAGGAAGGTTCACTGGCTTCGCTAAACCAGACCATGGATTCTGTGGTCCATCACCATCAGGCTCGCTCGGGTCCCTCCTCGGGGGTCCCTCGGGGGTCCCTCAGGTTCGCACAATCTGCCCAGGGAAGGCAGCAACTTGCTGGCAGTTGGCGACATTCAATTGCACCTCTGCGGGGCAGTTCATGTGTAACAAAAGACGAACACAAGAGCGTACAGGACCCACCCTGAGATTCACAAAACTGGCAGTGAAAGACCACGTGTCTCATGTCCCCGCGAGTTCTTCTTTTGCGCTGACTTTAATGAAATCGGTGTATGAACTAAAAGTACACCGACCGAACCAAACAAAAGACACCAAGAGCATCCAGTTGCCAACAAGAACGCTAGACGACCCCCGAACGAATGGCGCTGTCTTCGGCCGCTTCAGATTTGGGGGTCACTGACTGCGCATGAGAGATCCTGTACCTGGACCCCCCAAGGGGTGTCCAATGGACTACCTCACACTACCTATAGGCTTCCATTGGGCACCCCTTGGAGGGTCCTGGTATGTGAGTTATATAAAAAGAAACTAAAAAGAGAACACCTCCCAGTTCGACTGCCTGGAAGGTCCTGGAAGGTTCGGAAAATAGACCCAAAACCCAACCCCTTAGTTCAATTGTCTCCCGTCTCCCTATTTAAATATACACACCCATGATCACTCATGTGTCTCTGAGTGAGGGATATCCGGATCCCAACCCTGGTGACAGGTGACAGTCAAATCTGTCAAGCTAGGATCACTAATTCCCCCGTGTAAAGACGCACCCGCACATGCATGACGAGCAATACACAACAACTATAATCAAATTGTCATTCTGAAGTGATACTCACACGTACTCATTCAAACAATCTGTATCTATCTGTATATTTGAACGGCATTTATTTGTTATTATTTGTTCATTACTGAACTCAAACAAACTGTCCACTATGTGGGAGCCCTATATACATGGTCTACATGTCACAGTATCTCGTTCACACTACTTTAGCGTCATTAAAAAGGTATATCAATGTGGGGATCCTATCTCGTTCACCAGCGAATACTTGTGTTGGACAAACAATTAGAGCATGCCGTGGACTACTGTAGTCAAGACCAAATAAAAGTGGTTGCTCATTTGGTGATGTCTCCCCTCATTGAACACACCACGCAGAGTCACGTGGTTTAGCATGGTTTTCCTCGACCTTTGGCATCCTTCTTATTTCTTTCCTTTTCTCTCCAGAAAGCTTGCAGCACCGCACGAAATCTGGGATGTCCACAAAGCAAGGGTTTCAACATTGATCGATGTCTTAATTTTCCTGTCAAACAAATGCAGATTGAGAAGGCCACAGTGGGGTTGATTGAGCAGGGTTTGGGACTAACCCCCAACTTCAATCCACACCATTCGGAAGATCCTATGCCTATCTCTGGCTGGTGCAAGTGGGGTATCTGGAGTAGCTGAGGGACGCATTCCAATCTCAGACCGGCAAGAGTCAAGAGGCTGACTACTGCAAGTCACCCAATCCTCGCATAACGTACAAAATTCATCCAAATTCTAGTCTTGCAGCTTTGAGTTTGCAAATGAGTTCCACCAGGAACTCCACAGTTCCTTCCTGTCCCAAGGACGGAACTGACGACGTCTGGTCGTCGTCCTGATTTCGGGAGACCCATGGGACTCCCGGACTTCGCCTTCGCTCCTCCGGCCAGGGTGGAACCTTCAAGCCTGGCGCGTGGCGCTCGACGAGCCGAACGGCAGCGACGTGGAAGCTTGTTCCGAAGCGGTTGGGGCGGCCAGGGCGGCGGTTGGGTTGTACGGCCTGGCCACCCCGCAGGAGTCGGAGGAAGCAAGTTCGGGGAAGGAAGTGGGATACTGATACTCATTGATACTCACTTCCTTGCATGCGAGCTACTGCAATCTATCCCCTTCACCTAGTGCAATGAGGTTCTTTTGGTTGGAGTCCCAATCCAAGAAAAAATAAGAAAACAGGTTGAGGCGAACCAGGGAAACGATTTGCAAGCTGATGTTCAATTCATGGGAACGACTCAACGACCGACATCAGTGCTCCAACATTCTTGAGAACCAGGTAGCCTGAAGCCCAAGAAATGCCAAAACGGCCTATAGAGCCTAGAGATGTCTAGAGCATCCAAGGATACTCCCCTTCGGTGGAGATTCCACTGCTCTAAGGGACACTTTCGGCTCGGTTTTTTGTCGCAAGCTCTTGGCAAGTCCGAGCCCTTTGAGGTGAGAGCGTAACCATGCGTGACCAAACGCCCAACGCCACAGCGCTTCGTTCTTCGTCGTCAAAGCAGGCCGCGCGCGACAGCATGGAGTTCTCATTGAGACGCCCCTCCAGACCCTCGCAGCTGATGCGGCCGCATAAGATGGTCTCCACTTGGCTTCTCACCTCAACAAAGGGCACTAGTAGCTCCTGGCCTTACTACTAGGAGCAAGGACGCTACTAGGGGCTCCTGGCATCACTACTAGGAGCATTCTTGCTACTAGTAACAAGAAGCTACGAACGTAACCGAACGTAACCTCAGAGGCAAGAGGACGCTACGATCCGCAAGGGCCCAGTTCCGTTCGTCCAGGGCGTCGGCACTTCGTGCTCAGGCCGCGAGGCCGGTGTTGTTCTCTGCACGAAACATGTGGACACCACCTTAGGTCGACCATCACCAACACCAGCTGGGCGCCCCAGCCCCAACGGTGCCCACCACGGCCTCGACACATCGATCCGGAGGAATGAACAAGCTTTGCTGACTGGTTACTGACGTATAGTATCATGCAGCAGTAGATATATTCTATGAAACATATTGTATAGATGTTAATTAACTATATCTGTTCAATCATGACTGAGTACACAAAATGTACATTGCTATGATGAATGTGCAGAATCTTTGCAGATCAAGCTAGTTCATTGACCAAAGACAAGCGTGTAGGACTTCGGTGTCATCAAGCTTATTCGGAACACACACACACACACACAAACGCCACCTCCAATATGGAACACCGGAACACCCTGCAACTGGAACCCAGACACTCCATGTATGCCATATATGCCTATATTGACCCCCAAAACCACCCCAATGTAGGCTTATATGGCATACATGGAGTGTCTGGGGAAGATATATCCGACAACAACTAAGACTAAGTGTTTAGAGCCTTGTGGTGGTCACGTTCTTTCTTTGTTGGACATGATTGGACATGCAATACGGGCGCCTCTTCCGCTTGTCGTTGCAGTGTTGCTGTCACGATCGCTTCCCATTCCTGAACAAAAAGCAGAATGAGTGGCCAGAAATGATGCCAGTGAAGAGCCATATTGACCAATATCTCACTCTTCCCATCAAATGCCTTTGCCAATTTTCTCTTTGACATAACTTCACTTCGGTCGGTTTCTGTCCGGACTTCGAGGGCCGAAAAACCATCGAATCACCGAAAAAGAACAGAAACGACATGGGGCGTCACAGCAGGGCCAACCAAAACGCTGCAAATGGAGTTTCAAGAATAGGTTACACATGGTTACACATGGTTCATAAGCTTAACATATAAACCTCTTCAACTAGAAGTGGTATACATATAATGAGGAA